ATATTTGACCCCGTTGGGTTGATAAATCCAGGTGTTTTTCCACCTAAATATCTATGTCCGAAAAAGTTTCAATTGATGGCTGTAATTCCCCTTACTTATTGTACCATTAAATTATTTTTACGTTGAGAAAGCGATAAAGTTTAAAGCCAAATTGCCCTTGTTTTGATCAAAGCGTTCACACAGACTCTGTGCTCGAATGCATCGCGTTGACGTTTTTACTAGTTTATCTGTAGAACAAATTAAATTCTACTAGATACACAATCAATCATATATCAACTGAGACCACTCGGACTTCAACAAAGACGAACAGTCACAATAATTCCAATGTTCGCTTTAACATGTCCCTCAACAATAACTCTTCGTATACTTGTAGTATGAACACGACTAATTTTACTGCAAACACTAGCACTGGTCGTCAATAATCGTTCACTTACTCGTGTTAACATTGTATATTAGTCATTTCGACACTAAAGATATGAATTTCAGTAATTTGATTTTTCATTGAAATCATAAACCGATCACATTTAGACTGGCATTCAAAACCTGGAAGCATTGAACGTCCATTTTATCCAAGTATGGAACTCCTCAAAGGTGATCATTCCCATCAACGCACACAGGATACGAATCGAGGACCTTCGGCCTAGCGCGTACGCTTAACATCTAATACACTGAGCTGGTATCCAACGTTGACAGAGTCCAACTTCAACCAATCCACAATGTTGCGCAAACGTTTTTTATTGTTTTCGATCAGTAAATGCCTCACAGTCAACACAGTTGAACTCCACTGGTCAGAGCATTTAATTGCGGCTTTGAGAAATATTTAATGAAGCAAGTTGCTACTCAGAATATGATAATATTCGGGTCGATTACTGTTCAGACATATGAAGGAGATTCGGAAATTTCCTGTATGCAACTGAAGTTCCTTTGCACACTTGACCAAAGCGAATGCCCGGATTAATAAGAGCACTTGTGATTCTAAAATTGTGTGTGTCTGTATTGCTGTCGACAATTGTAGTGGTATTTGTAGTGGTGGTGATGTAGTCCTTGAAGATCGAGTGTTAATGTTGAAAGAGTAGTAGTTGCATCATTGATGTTGTTGATGACGATGGTGGTGTTAGTGGTGGGAGAAGCAGAAACTGTAGTGAAATTGTTTGTTGTTTGAGTGTCAGTAATGATAATGACAGTAGAGGTATGGTTTCGAGAATTTGTGTTAGAAGTGGTACAATCGACAGTATTGGTTGATGATTTTGTTATTGTGGTGGCTGTGATGGTGGTAGAAACGATAGTTGGAATGAGAGTATATATCGCGAAACTGCATCTTATTAAAATAATCGACTGTAATAAATTATCCCTGTTGAAAACACATGACTAGTTTTCTCAATACCTAAAGATTTCTAAAGTGATTCACTTAGTATTTGATGAAAAACCATTCTAAATATGCCCAAATGACTGATAAATTACTGATGCCAATACCTACATCAAAACTACTGGAATAAATCCATATGAATGTATACAATTTCCATACTAAATATAACACCAATAATATGTTAACTGAGACTACCCAAACTTAAACAAGCAAGAAAAGTCAAAAATATTCCAATGTACATTTCCACATATCCCTCAAAAATAACAACTCGCACATGTCCAGTATAAACACTAATAATACTACTAAAACCGCTATCACTGATCGTCAGTCATCGTTCACTCAAATGAGCAGCACATTCAATCAACACTACTCACTTCGACTGAAGCATCAACAGTCAGTGTTCCATTCACGTGTACACGCACACAACCGACCAGTGTGTGGACACTGAGTAGAAGTCAGAGAGTTGGTTTGAATAAGCACATTTTCTATAATGACAGAAGGAAGTTATGATTGAACATGTGAGGGGTTGGAAGGTCTATGTGTGAAGAGCAAGATGGGAAAGGGATTGTGTATTTAGTGGACTGTGTAGCTAGTTGACTGGCCGTCTGTCTAGTCAAGCAGAAACTTGACATGAGTTGTAGCTGTAGACATCTACTTACTTGTCTCTACAGTGTCCATGCACACAGTGTCCACTGCAGCAATCCTTACCTTGTACACATTGTTCTTTCGACTGCAAACACCGTCCTCTGACACACACTCCTCGTCGTGGATTGATCAGCTTGCAGCTGTGTGGTGGACAACACTTCCTATGTCCCGCACCATCACAATACCTTCCCACTCCAAAACACATTCCGTTCTCAGCTGAAATCTTCGCTGAAACATCACAACAACAACAACAACACTTCTATATTATTATTCACTCAACAATATTTATCACAATCGAAATCACAATCAAAATCACCATCACAAACGCTATTGCTCAAACTTCTTTGCCTACTACTAACAATCAATCATACAGCCAACACTACCAAATTCACGATTTAAACTCTTAATCCAACCGTCATTTCTACCACCAACACAGTCACCACAACAACAAAATCATCAACCAACACTGTCGATTGAACCACTTCTATCACAAATTCGCGAAACTCAACCACCAATATCATCACCAATACTGACACTCCCACTACAAACAACAATACAAACACCACAAACAATCACTCCAATATCACTGCTTCTCCCACCACTAACAACACCATCATCAACATCATCAATGCAACTACTACTACTCTTTCAACAATAACACTCGATCTTCAAGGACTACATCACCACCACTTCAAATACCACTACAATCCTCAACAGCAATACACACGCACACATACACACAATAATGGTATAACAAATACTGCAAACAATCCAATCATTCACTGCATTTACTGTTGTCACTCACCGTGAACACCGTAGATGCTGAGAAGCGCGAACAAACACAAGATCACACACTGTCGCATCACTGCTCACTTCGAGTCACTGCAAATTCAATGCTGTCAAACACTCGGATCGAGTCACACAGACACCGACCACATCCACCAGTATTTATACTAACCATCTCTCACAACCTTTCTCAACCACCCTCAACACAATCCATGCATGTGATCCTTAATCACCATAATCCAACCACACACCACTGTCAATCACGTACTCGTCTGATAAACCAGGTAATCAATCGACCGATCAATAATTCAATCATTCAATCAATCATTCAATGAATCAGTCAATCAATCGTTCAATGAATCCATGGTGTAGTGATTTGAATGAGAGTGTGAGTAGTCGTACGAGTCAGTTGGTCGTTTGTGTAGTCAGACGGACTGAGTAATGAACACATAGCGAATACATTTGTGTGCTCTTCACCAAATCAGCTGACTGATTGAGCACGTGAATGATTAACACAGTGATTGAGTGGATGCGTTAATTCCGTTGGCAATTCATTCTTCACGTTCAACTAACACAAACACGCGAAACGACTGACGCAAACAAGCGCACACATACACACACACGTGAACAGTCGATCGTCTGATGATGATATTGTGGCCCATTTGTGTTTTTGATTTCATCTCTCGTGATGCCCATTGATTTGACCATGTTACTCTTTTTCAATTAATTTGTCTCAAAAGTTACTCGAGATTTAATCTTCGCGCGGATATAACAAAAGCTTTTAAACGTAACATCTCCTTCAACTGATAATATACTAACTTAGCTTCTTCTGAAGTATCAGCAGTAATTTATAATTTGTCAACGTAGAACTGTTCCTTCGCTGTCTGTATAATACCGTCGAGAAACCTAGCCTCGTTATCTAAATGAACCGCAAGTCAGTATCGCTTTTTATTCATTTCTTTGAGCAATACAGGCACTATGCAAATTCTTCTTGTTTGTGTAACGAACTATGTTGTCTTCAACCACATCCTTCGACGGCATATGAACTCGGTGCTCGACAGTTTCTTATGGTTTATGTGAAACCACTAATTTCAACAACAGTAAATCGTTTGTACCTACGCCATTTCATAAAATCTTCACAACACATTGTGAACCTGATTGTCAAAAAGCTGAACATGTCTCATTTAAGTGACTCTCGCAATTCCTACCTCATCTATTTTTTCAAAATTCAGAGATAATTACAATAGAGTTCATGTGTTCAGTGTACATAATGAATTGAATAAAGCAAGTGGTGTGATCGACAGCAGTCACAGGCATTTATGAAAGCACATGAAAGACAGACAATCGAATATTACATTTCTTTGAATTTAGTGACAGAAACATTAATATCGAAATAATAATATTATTATCATCGATATTGCAAAACTAGATTGGTGAATCGACCACCAAATCAAATGGTTACGCATGATTTTGACGTTGATGTTGGCCTAATCGATTTCACTAGACAAGATCTAGTTGAAAGCGCTAGGTAACACATCCACACGAGACCGGCAATGAATATGTGATGTTACGTATCTCTTCCAACAACTACCCAGTCCAGATTACACGCTTATCGACATACAAACAATCAAACAAATAATAACTCAGACTCCTCGATTCCTGATATCTCTCATTCAAATCACTACACCTTGCATTCATCGAATGATTGATTGACTGATTCATTGAATGATTGATTGAATGATTGAATTATTGATCGGTCGATTGATTACCTGGTTTATCAGAAGAGTACGTGATTGACAGTGGTGTGTGGTTGGATTATGGTGATTAAGGATCACATGCATGGATTGTGTTGAGGGTGGTTGAGAAAGGTTGTGAGAGATGGTTAGTATAAATACTGGTGGATGTGGTCGGTGTCTGTGTGACTCGATCCGAGTGTTTGACAGCATTGAATTTGCAGTGACTCGAAGTGAGCAGTGATACGACAGTGTGTGATCTTGTGTTTGTTCGCGCTTCTCAGCATCTACGGTGTTCACGGTGAGTGACGACAGTAAATGCAGTGAGTGACGACAGTAAATGCAGTGAATGATTGGATTGTTTGCAGTATTTGTTATACCATTATTGTGTGTATGTGTGCGTGTGTATTGCTGTTGAGGATTGTAGTGGTATTTGAAGTGGTGGTGATGTAGTCCTTGAAGATCGAGTGTTATTGTTGAAAGAGTAGTAGTAGTTGCATTGATGATGTTGATGATGGTGTTGTTAGTGGTGGGAGAAGCAGTGATATTGGAGTGATTGTTTGTGGTGTTTGTATTGTTGTTTGTAGTGGGAGTGTCAGTATTGGTGATGATATTGGTGGTTGAGTTTCGCGAATTTGTGATAGAAGTGGTTCAATCGACAGTGTTGGTTGATGATTTTGTTGTTGTGGTGACTGTGTTGGTGGTAGAAATGACGGTTGGATTAAGAGTTTAAATCGTGAATTTGGTAGTGTTGGCTGTATGATTGATTGTTAGTAGTAGGCAAAGAAGTTTGAGCAATAGCGTTTGTGATGGTGATTTTGATTGTGATTTCGATTGTGATAAATATTGTTGAGTGAATAATAATATAGAAGTGTTGTTGTTGTTGTTGTGATGTTTCAGCGAAGATTTCAGCTGAGAACGGAATGTGTTTTGGAGTGGGAAGGTATTGTGATGGTGCGGGACATAGGAAGTGTTGTCCACCACACAGCTGCAAGCTGATCAATCCACGACGAGGAGTGTGTGTCAGAGGACGGTGTTTGCAGTCGAAAGAACAATGTGTACAAGGTAAGGATTGCTGCAGTGGACACTGTGTGCATGGACACTGTAGAGACAAGTAAGTAGATGTCTACAGCTACAACTCATGTCAAGTTTCTGCTTGACTAGACAGACGGCCAGTCAACTAGCTACACAGTCCACTAAATACACAATCCCTTTCCCATCTTGCTCTTCACACATAGACCTTCCAACCCCTCACATGTTCAATCATAACTTCCTTCTGTCATTATAGAAAATGTGCTTATTCAAACCAACTCTCTGACTTCTACTCAGTGTCCACACACTGGTCGGTTGTGTGCGTGTACACGTGAATGGAACACTGACTGTTGATGCTTCAGTCGAAGTGAGTAGTGTTGATTGAATGTGCTGCTCATTTGTGTGAACGATGAATTTTTAATCTTATATTAATTTCTGATATATTTATTGATTCCGACGGATTCCCTTCTGATTTTTGAATATTCTTCTGTGTTTTTTTTCACAATTCGCTTCTTTATATCCAAATGATTATCTGTTAGTTGAATGTGTGTATTACACTTACCTTATCTCCTAACATCTACATCTCGGAATATTTTTAATAATCTTTAATAGGAACTCCGTTTCAGTCGTTGTAAATTTGTTCAGCTTCCATCACGATGGTTACAAACAATCGTCTGCTAGAAGTTGTTCACGAGGCCAAGCACTTGATGCCTTTATAATAGGGAAAATCTTCTTTTGACCAAATCGTCAACAGTGACTGTCTGCCTTATGATAATGATTTCAGCTTATTACATTCCCAAGGAAGTTAGAAGTTTTGCACCAGTAAAAAATTCAAGAACGAACAAAATACCCATGGCATACGGGTTTTTATACCGAATCCTAGGAACCTGTTACCTGAATCAATATAATCCGTACCTTCAATGGACTCATTTAAGAGAAGACTGAACACTCACAGAAGCAAATAAGAAAAATAAATAACACAGGACACAGTATTTTGTCTTTACCACACAAATCTGAACTCTAAAACATGATTAAAGCTTCATCTATCTACGCTTCCAGAGACCGTTTGACGAACTGAGAGACCACCATTGACAGGACATAACACACGCCACGTAGCTTCATATCCTTTTCAAACTGAATTTGAAATGTGATTCCGATGCATAGCATTTACATCCATTTGTACAAATATATCTCACGAAAAATTACTTTAGTGTTGGATCGTCTTTGTTCTTTTTACTGATATCGCGTTGTTAAGGTAGGTGTATTGCACCCGTGTATCACGCTCATCGTAGGGGGGTTTATAAAGACCCTTCACTAATTTTGTTCCCACACGGTGGACACGCTCAAGTAAGTTGTTATCCCTTACCAGACATTGCCCGGCTGCTTGAATACAGTACTTCAAATGTGATCTTACATAGGTGGGATATAAAATTTGAAACATTTCCTTGTCAAAAAATTTGACGAAGTGACCATAACGCATGAAAAACTTTGACAGTGGCTGCATTGCAATGCGTAGTTGTTTTTAAGTCATAAATTATTATTACTCCTAAGTCTTTATGTTCTTGAGCACATGGAAGAGGTTTACCCTTAATCGTATATTGGCAACTATTACCTTGACCGATGTGCATTAGCACACTCTTCTTAGCATTGATTTCTAAGCCTCACTCTTGATCCTATCTTGTTATATCGTCTAAGTCAGCTGGAGGTTCAAGAGGATCAATCGCACTTTTTATTCTTCTACAGATTTTAACGTCATCCACAAACAATAATGTCAACGACCTAAGCAACAGCGATAAATCTTTAACGTAGGGAAGGAAGAGCAGATGGCCTATGATAGTGCCTTGCGGTACACCACTTTTGACCGGCTTCCAGTCGGATAGAGTTTCATTGACCCTCACTCTCTGTCTGCGGCCATATAAGAAGTTTTCTATCCACTTCTGTACAGTACCTATTATTTTGAAGCCCGTGAGCTTCTGCATAAGACTCAAGTGTGAAACCTTGTCAAATGCTTTTCTATATTCTATGACTATCACATCGACAGACAGGCCTTTATCTAAGGCTGCTATCCAATCCTCCCTCGCAATAAGCAAGTTAGTCAAGTATGAACGCTTGTTACGAAATCCGATTTGCTCAGGAGCTAACAAATTGTGTGAATCTATGGGGCTTAGCAACCTAATACGAATTATTTTTTCAAGCAACTCAACAACGATGCTAGTTAGATTGATGAGCCGATAGTTAGATACGATCTATCTTTGGTCATCCTTAAATATAGGACTGATTTTCCGATCTCTAGGGAGTTGAACGAGTGAAAGGGACATATTGAAGAGTGTCGCAAGAGGTTTGGAAATAATGTCTGCAAGAGATGACAGCAGCCGTGTATGTAACTAGCCAGGGCCCGGTATCATACAAGGTTTGAGGTTAGTTATCAACGGAAAAATAGTTTCCTCAGTCACCTGTACTGATTCAATGGTTGGTATCTCGTCATGATTGAGACTAGTATTTGTTACAATAATCGTAGAGAAGACTTCGCTAAAATAGTCTGAAAATGTCTCAGCTTTTGTTCGATCTGATTCAGCTAGTAGATCTGAAATTTCGTGTAACAGTAACGGGGGAATACCATCACTACGTTTCATTCGCCGTTTAACATACGAAAACAAACGTTTTTGACAAGTACGTCAATCATATACCAACTGTTGTTCGAAAATAATATATGACTAAGCTATTGTTTTCATACAAATATTCCGGAATTTTCGGCATTCACGCTTAAGTGATGCATGACCTGTCAACAAGAATAAGTCCCAGAAGTGTTTCTTAAACTTTAACAGCTTCCGGGTTTCCTCATTAATCCGCGTCGACCGACCAATAAATAGAGATAACACAGTTTCTGATTGCCGGAATATTTGCTCGCCAGATATTAGGACGCCGTGAAGCAGGTGCAAATTTTATACCATGTGTCCTTAACTTACAACATGATCACTGTTCACTGGTGGGTAAAGGTGCTGAATATCAATAACATCCTGACAGTGGTGGGTGAGGGCGACGTTCAGCGGTAACGGATCATTTTTCCAGTCAATATGTGACTGTTTTGCGATACATTGTGCAATTTGCACACTGAATAACGGTTGATAAAAAGTCGATTTCAAAACCACCACTTGGAGCTATAAGCTCTATCCAAATGATATGCAGAGCACTAAAGTCCTCAATGATAGGACAACACTCTGCCATACTCTAAGAACAGATGTGTCTTAAGATAAAGTCGTCAGCAAGACAATACGGACTACGGTATATTCCCCCTATAGTCACTAAACCATTTCCAGATTTAATCTTACAACATGAAACCTCACATGTACTACTGATATGAGCCTCCGATATGATTGATTGTATACGAAAGTGATCCCTAACGTATAACGTTATGACTTCTCTCTTGTGACTTAAAACTCTATCACTTCTAATAAAGATATAGCCTGCGAACATTGTATGTCTATGGTGAACCGAGTTTCTGTAACATCAATTATATCGGGACTTAATTCATCCAACATCAGACTTAACTCGGATGTTTTATTTCTAAAATTACAGACGTTCGTCTAGCACACACTCAAGGTGTTTTGGTAATCATTCATTCTACCCATACAGACCTCAGAAGCATTGGCTTCCAAGACCTGAATACCCGTAAACCCTTAATGGTAAGGTTAGTTTGGCCAGTTGACTTGCGAGTTCTCAACTCCGTAAGAGCATTCTTCCAATTGAATCGATCTTTAAGTGGCCAATCTTGTCGGACACGAATATTTAATCACATTTTTAGTGCGTTTTTTAATAACATATCTCTTTCTTCAAAAATTTCGAGAACCAGCTTCAAGATCCTTCTTGAGTGCGTCTCGTGTCCAACCCATTTACCGAGTCGTATTGCTTTCGTGATATGAAAACCCTGAAACCTCTTCAGGTAGTACATTTCTTATCACAGATTCCACTAATTGCAGATCGTGTGTATGTCTATTAGCAGGGTCATCGTCCTTCGACTCCTCAAAATTCCAAACAATTAAACTGTGAAAGGGTTTAACTTCTTTTGAAATCGTGTTGACGGTTTTCGATAGTGACGTTAGATCCTGTATATTAACCACTGGCATCTTATGATTACTTTTTATTGTAACAGGGTCGAGGGAGTCGAGCGAGTGTTTCACAACAATGTTTGACGAGGCTTTACTTTGGGCTTAAATGAGGGTAATAAAGCAGTTTAAAGAATAAGGATTATGATTTACAGTTGATAGTTAGGGTCAGGAATTAGATTTATAGTTTTCAGCACGAACTGATATCAGTTAAAAAGTCAAGACGCTATATGTCCAAATGAGTGGGTTAGTTTTATCTGATATAGGATTGATTCATCTTTTGTTATTAAATATATAATGATCAACTGTTTTAAACAGTCTAATGCACTTCATTTAGTTCGTGAAAAGTTGGCTATAATTTAATTTAAAGTATTTTTGTTTATTGTTAATTGTGGTAATAACAGTGTGAAAGTTTGTTATTTCTTATCCACTCAACTTTAACAACTGTGCATAAATGTTTCTATTCGACTTGTTGAAGCTTATGACGAATTGTTCTTGGAGTTGTAGTCACTTCTGCTATAGAACGACTTCAATACAACAACAAACCGGTAACTCTTCATTATGTCAAACTGTTTATTCGGATTGTGCAAATCACATCTAATAAGCCATTACGATACACATTTGTCAGCTGTTAAACATATAAAATCTTTTGATCCTTTCATTAATACTAGGCAAGTTATAAAACAGGTTATTGTAATCACCAACAATCTAATGCTTTTCAACAACTGCTAACAGTACACCATATTCACTTAATTGGGATCATGAACCGATCAGTATTAGGCCACTATTGAAAACCTGGAAGCACTGGACGGCCGTTTCGTCCTGCGTGGGATTCTTCATCCTTGCGCACCCACGATCCAGCACGGTGGATTTGAACCCAGAGCCTTCGATTAACCCCTCCCATACTAGGACGAAACGGTCGTCCAGTGCTTTCAGGTTTCCAATGATGGCTTAAGATTTATCGATTCATGATTTTAATCAAGTACATAATTAATCATTAGTGAAACAATTTTCAGAGAATGTCTGTTAAAATAATTTTAAAATTAGAAAAATAATAAAAATTCTTCATCCAGACTAACTAAATTATTCCCATGGAACTCGACTAATCAGATCTGACATGGAGATAATTTACAATTAATAAAATAATTATTTTAGCAGAAAGAAAATGTGGTCATAAACAAATTGAGCACATATTTCAATAAGACATTAACTAATCACTATCTCAGAGACAGAGACCGACGACATTTTCATCAACACGAGGGTGTGTTTTCACAAGTAGAATAAATGAGGTGAACCATTGACTGCGGATGTCTGCATTTCGTATGGTAGACGGATTGCTAACCGTAAAAAGATGATCAATGACTCATAAACCAGATTTACTACAACCTTTTCATGAGCGAAGCCCATGGTTTTGTCGTTTGACAGAAAACCAAATGAAGTGGATACACCGTTTACCGCCACTGGGAGTTGCCAT